TATAATTTACAAAAAACTTTCATGAATCATGCTGCACTTGATTTTCATAACAACTCTTTGAAGTGAAAAATGACAGTTTCTCATCTCACAGAGAAGGTAAAATATGTTAAGTCAAATGGCCAGTAAGTGAAAAACTAAGATGGAAACCTAGACCTTCTAATCCAAAATTACATGTTCCTCCTTCTGTATCATACGGCTCATTGCTGTTATACTATCGCCAAAGAAATCAAATCCCAGGTGTAAATGGACATTCTTACTTTGCAGTTTCTCTTTCAACTTCTTCAAGACCTGAATGCTTCTTCTGAAGTCTAAATTTTTGTAGCCAAATTATAAATTGAAAAACAACTCAAGTCCCTGCCAAGCTCAGAAATATGCAGCTAAACTACACCTCTGCAGCCCCGGTAGGTTCGGGTGAGTGTGACATGCTACGGCTTTCTCCTAAGGCCTGCTGCTCAGTGAGTCCTTCCAGGCGCTCACCCCTCATCTTCAGAAAGCTCTTCACCACACTGACGTTATGCAGCAGAGAACCCAAAACAGGCGAACCAGAGACACACTGCAGTCTGTGTGTGTTAACAGGAGGCTTTTTTCTTTCCCTAATCAATAATCCTCTCATTATTATCTCTTTGCTCCTTCAAGCTAGAGCGCCCGCTATTATTTGTACACAATCAGCATCACAGGATTCCTTCAGGGCCCCCACAGGCCCAGGAATAACTACAAAACTTTGGGAGACAACAGAGTTATGAATTTCAGCTGAACAGAACATTTTTAAAAGTAAGCAGAATTTAATGAGGTTTTTTAAACAAAGACATAAAACAGTTGTATTGCTCACTGCAACAATGAACATCTCAGCTGTAAAACAGGAAATGTTTACTTGGGCAGATTTACTTCAGTGTGGCTATGTTAAATCACTGGAGCAGAACTCATAAAAAGAATGCCTTTGAAAACATAAGGGGACACTTGTACTTTCTAAACTTTTGCCACATATAAACAAAATAGCATGGAAGATTGCTTGCAAATTAGTAGTCTTCCTAGTCCCATACACAAGCAATATAAAAATCCATTCTTGGTATACACCCAAGAGAAATGAAAATGTAATTCCACATAGAAAACTTATACATGAGCTTCATAGACAGATAATGAATAATTCATGATAAGCAGAAAAACAAGACAACCGAAATGTCCATCAATTGAGGAATAGATAAACAGTGTTACATCTATACAATGGAATATTATTCAGACATCAAAAAGAAGGAAATACTGATACACACTATAACTTGGATGAACCTTAAGAACATTATCCTAAGTAAAAGAAGCCAGTCACAAAAGATCACAGATGGTCATACAAAATGTCTAACATAGGGCAATCTATAGAGATAGAAAATAGTTTATGGTTATTTAAAGCTGGGGTCAGGAGACGGGAAGAAAGGCAGTGGTAGCTAAAGGGTGCAGGATTTCTTTCTGAGCTGATGAAAATGTTCTAAAACTGACTGCGGTAATGATTACACCTGTTGGTAAATACATACTAGAAGTCACTCAATCACATACTTTAAGTGGTGGAATTGTATAGTATAAAAATTAAATCTCAATAAAGCAGTAAAAATTGTTCTTTAAAATTTAACAAGTAAAAATAACCAACTTAAACCATTGTTTTAATACCATTGCCCCCTCTGCTCTCAGTCTCAGAAGCTGCTAAGCACTGAGGCACTTAAGAATGTGTTTTAAGTTCATATCTGCATGAGCTCTTGAGAATGAAAGGAAATACTCCTGGTGTTTGTCAAACAGCGGTCTGTGTTCCACGAGAAGCTGAACTTTTCAAAATGAAGCTGCTATCAGTCGGATCTTTCCAGAGACGGTTAACTACAAACTCTGACCAAGGCACAGAACAAGCAACTGGTGAGAGGCACTGAGAGCAAAGACAGGCGCGGCGGCTCAGGCAGTTCATCCGTCCTGGGCCTCTTGGTCACTCTCTGACCTCTGTGTCTCACCTTCCCTGACATCCATGAACCCCAGATTCCCCAGCCTTTTCCTTCTTCTCTGACCGTTCTTCCTGTTTCTCCTGCTGCCCCTTCTTTCTGTGTCTACCATTACACCCTCGCATCCTCCATTGCTTTGCTAGCTCTTACTCAGTACATTTTGTCTTTACAGTTTAATGACTCCTGCTGCTTCTGCTTCCACTGAGACCCCCATATCTGTAATTGCAGTCGGAGCTCCCGTCTCAGCTTCTCTTTGGGTGTCTCTAGCTCCAGACCCGTAACAGTGGCCTGGGAGTTAAATTCTGAGATGACACCTAAACCAAGTAACACCTATCACCTCAGTTTCTCTTTAAATTCCCTTCGGAAGGCAACATGTCGGAGTTCCTGTCCTGGCCCAGTCTGCACTGTTGAACTGTTCAAGACAAATGCATTTTCAGCATGTTGCACAGACCTCTAACTCTACAAACCAAAACTCCATGTGCCCTCCCTCGGCCCGCACCACACTCTGCCACTTTACTTTCCACACTCAGAGATGCCACCAGAATCACCTGGCTACTGAAGCCCAAAATCCAGGACTCAGCATTGATTTTTTTCTCCTCTTCCTCACCAAAATCCATCAATATGATTCCTGTTGATTTGATGCCTTATTTCAAACTTGCATCACTTTTCACTTAGCCAGCATAGCAAACTTGTCTCCCTACTTTTCTTTCTTTTTGACTCCAATTCCGTATAGTATGTAGTTCTATTGCTTTTTGCACATACAAATATGGTCAGATTTCTCCTCTCTTGGAAAGATCTTCCAGTGGTAACTCACCTCCCATAGCAGCGATTTTTCAATCATTTTTTGTACAAATAAGTACAGTCCTCCCTCCATATTCACAGATTCAACCAACCACAAATGGAAAGTATTGAGAGCAAAAACCATTTCATCTATACTGAACATGTACTGACTTTCTTTTTGTTATTCCCTAGGTATTATAACAACTATTTACACACTGTTTACATTGCATTAAGCATTATAAGGAATCTAGAGATTATTTTGAGAGAATGTGCATAGTTTATATGCAAATACTATATCATTTTATTTCAGAGACTTAAGCATCTGTGGACTTTGGTATCCAAAGGAAGTCTTAGAACCCATCTCCCGTGTACATGGAGGGAGAACTGTATTATTTTCAAAATATCATGCAAAATTCTAATATCCACAATAAATAGGAATCATATTTTATTACGATCAACTTACTTTGTAAGTTTTAAATGTATAGAAACCAATAAATGAGAATATAATAGGTAGTTACAATAAAATAAAAAATTCAAAATCATTAGCAATGGAATTAGATCATCACTTTGTCATTTATTTATCTTACTGATTGCATGCATCTAAAGAATCCTGATTCATATCACTAGGTAGCCACCAATGGTAATTATTGTTTCTTCCCCACAGTTGTTTTAATCTTAGACTCTTGTTAATTTAAAAGAGACTGTAAGATGCATATACAAGTAAATTAACCTGTCATGCATGTTACATGGTTGCTGATTTCTGCCTGATGAAACTTTGGTATATAATATTTAGAGTGTGTCTTTAAAATCTGTTTTTAAAAATGAAAGTTAAAGCAAACATTGGTCAATCCTGAGCTTCCTCTTCAAAACCTTGGTTTCATGGGATCGAATTTGAAAACCAGTCACAGATGGATGCTAAAGCCCAAACCTCTTACTATGATGTGCAAGACCTCAAGTTATTTGGACTTTATCAATAAGCCACGCATTCCTACAAATGCTGAATTTTTACCCAGTTCCCTAAGCCCATCTCCTTCTGTCATGTAGTTTTGCTTTGTGCTTATTTCTCCTGCCAAATGTAACCCTGAACTACTGCCTTCTAACAATATGTCTGTCAGCTTAGTAACAAAAATTAAAGTCCTAACCTCTAGTAAAGGCTTATCTGACTTCCCCCAAAGCACCTTTATATAATTCTATCTTCATTATGTATCATCCTGTATGATAATCATTTTTTCCTCTCAACCATAAGACCGAAGGACTAGTTTTTATTATTACATTTATTAACACATTTGTTGTACAAAATAATGAGTTTTACTGTAAAATCTATTTCCATGCATGCATATATTGTGTTTTGATCATATCCACCTTCCTTTCTGCCCTCTTACCTATCTCTCACTTTCTTCTACCCAGTTCCCTTCCCCGTCACTAACAGATACCCTTCTTTTAAGTGATCTTTTTTAAATTCCCATGTTTAAAAGTAAACATGTGATACTTATCTTTCTGTGCCTGGCTTATTTCATTTAACATGTCCTATAAATTACATGATTTCATTCTTCTTTATGGGTGAATAATGCTCCATTGTGTGTGTGTGTATGAGTGTGTGTTATTTTCTTTATCCATTCATCTGTCGATGGGCACGTAGGCTGATTCCATAACTTGGCTATTGTGAACAGTGCTGCAGTAAACAAGTATGCAGTATCTCTTTTGATGCTGACCTCATTTCCTTTGGCTAGATACCAGGAGTGATATTTCTAGATTACATGGCAGTACTATTTTGACCTTTTTGAAGAACTTCCATACTGTGTTCCATGATAGCTGCACTAATTTACATTTTCACCAGAAATGTATAAGGGTTCATTTTTCCCCACATCCTTACCAACATTTATTATTTTTTTTCTGGTAATAACCATTCTGACTGAGATAAGAAGAATGTCTTTGTGGTTTTTATTGGTATTTTCCTGATGGCTAAAGATATTTAGCATTTTTCACATATTTATTGGCCATTCAAACAAGAAGGACTAAGCTAACTCTTCTTGAGTTTGCATGGACTTTCAAAGTGCCTCAATATTAATAACAGTCTCCAGAAGAGTGATTACAATGGCTGAAATGTCATATTTGCCTAAGACAGCCCCACAGCTAATTCTCTTATTATCTGACATTTTAATTTAACTCGAGTAAGTAGTAATCACCATTATAAACCATGCTAATTTTAATTTTGATTTCATGTTCTTAAATAATGATATTACCCACCAACAAAAGAGAGCAAGATCACCAGGAGAACAACCAGAGCACAGATGCACGGAATCAGCACCAGCAAAAGGAAGCGGAGAAGGTTAACAGTCGCCAGCTTTTGAGAGCAGCCATCACCCATGTTATTATCATCAGCTCCCAAGACCTAAAGGAAGAGAAGAAAATGAAACATGGTTTTAATATTACAGAGCAATGCAATGCATGGTATGAATTCTAGACTACAGTTATCCATTCAGAGTGGCAACATTCCTGAGACATTTTACTGCATGTACTTAAGGGTGTGAAATAAGAATAGTCACAAATCACACTAACAAACAAACCAACAGATCTACTTTTGAAACATTTTTCGATAGTAAACAAACTTCTAATGGTATTTCAGCCTGATTTTTTAGCTTATTTATTGGTTTTGTATTATTCCAAAGAGCTATTAATCACCATGGTGAGAACTTACCCTGAACCAGAGCTGTAAGCGAAGACTGGCCCATATAGAAATAAAATATTGGTGAGTAGGTAAAGAATGGACATTAACCACCCGTCATTCTTATTTGTCTCATTAGTCCTAACCCAAATTGGCATGAATCTGGACACAATACGTTTTCAGTCATTAATAATTCAGCAAGATTAACTGTTACTGACCATATACTTAGTGACAAACTGGACAGTGGACATTGTCTGTTTGCCAGTTAAACATTAACATCTCTGAGGACATGCTCAGAAGTGCACACTGTCCCTGAGCCCCTCCACTGTGAGTGGACCATGAGGCAACACAGGATTGTTCAGATAAATTTACTGTTGTCAAACGCTTTAAATGTGTTTAGTTCAATCCTTTGCCAGAAACAATGTCTGGGAATTTATTTATTAAAAACATCTAGCAAAGGCCAGTGACTTTTTTCAGCAAAGCCTGAGATCATACCAAAAGTGTTTTGAGTCACTGTACAGTACTCCTTTGGTCCCCTTAGTGAAAACATTTCCCATGATTCTTTCTTAAACTTCTGACTCTGCACTTTTCCTTCTGTTTTAGAGCTTGAACTATAACCTCCATGCAAGTATCTTCAAACTTCTCTTGAGTCCTGCTCTTTCTTTCAAGTTATACCATATTTTTCCAGTGTCTTATGGTTAGCAGATCCTTTTCTCAATATATCTAAAGCCAAAGCAAATCTTCCCTTTCCATACCTCCAAATTAGTTCTCTCCTGACCTCTATGCTGTATTCACAGACACTCCACTATTCCAGAGACTCTCCACTGCATCATCAGCCAATGCTATCCTTTACAAGGTTTTGGTAGTTCTTCCTCTGAGGTAAATATCTACCTTTGAAATAATGGATGACCTTTGATACTAGGCCTTATCATAATCAAGGATGTGTTCTGACAATATAAGCACTTCCTAACAAGTCTGTGATCATTTCCCACAGAAATGAAAGGCAGCTTTGATGGGTTCTTCCAAGTTACAAGACACAGGTGACCCTCCCATTCTGCTTTATTTTACCTCCATCAGAATCAACTCTTGTTCAGTAAAACATATTGTATGTTGCATCCATTACGTGCAATGTATGAAATAACATCTTCTGTAATTTTAAGACTTCTCCACAAAAAAATTACTTCAAAGAATGTATGGTGTTTATTTGCATGAGATTTATTTTCCTATTTTCATGTATTTACTGACCCATTTCCTCTGTACCAGAGGTTTATTTATTTTTTTATTTTAAAAATAAAAGGAGGAAAACATTAACAGACAGACAACCTTTTACAAAATAGCAAAAGAACAGTACAGACAATACAGAGTTACAAACAAAGTGGTACCAGAGGTTTAGGCAACCAGCTAATGTGAGATCATTCATAGTTAATTTACAAGCGACCTTCAGGAAGATGTGGCCCTGGAACAGTATGATATGGGATAGCACACTGACTACAGCACCAGCGCTGATGGGAGGTACTCTTTCAGGCTTGTAGATAACATGTGTTGGTGAAAACAGAGACAATTATGGGTCTATAGGCCAACAGAGAATGTGGCAGAATCAATTTCATTTGCTCAGCTTCATTCACTCAACAACTGAATGCTTAATAATTATAATAAATATAGTAATGGACATAACAGTGATTTCAAACCAATTATTCCTTTAAGCTCACAGTCTTAACAGAGAAACAAGATGTGAGCATAAATAACTATATTTCAAGGTAGCAAATGATAGACACCACAAGACTCATAGCTAAAGCGCTACAGGAATTCAAAAGAAGAATATGATTTCCTGCTGACTGATCAGACAAGACACCATAGAGAGAGAAACACTTGAACCAGCCATAATTCTGAGAAAAGCACCCCTGACAAAGTACCTTTGTTTAAAATATATCCAGAGGGGTAAGGAATATGAACTTCCTTGCATTCCTACATAATAGAAGAAATTTCTTCATTACAGTGCTCCCAGAAGAATCGTGGGGATAACTTTCCTGGGTGCCAGTGGTTCTTGCTACCTGGAATCCTGTGACAAAGCACATTCCATTTAGCATCCATAAAACAAGAGTCAGCGGAGAAAGTGCTAGAGCCTCACATGAATAGCTCATGTACATTGAAAAGTACTTCATCTCCAGAAACCACACTCACGGTTAGTCCAAATATTTTCTCCAAGGACTAGGAAACTGGCTGTTTTTTAAGGGAGAAAAGGAAGAAATACTCAGAAGAAATTCAGTATTTCAGCACTCTCTCCTTAATTGCAAAGCTTTCTTCTTGCACTCATAACCACTGGGGACTGTTGCGGCAAACGCTGCTTTATTCAGAAGTCCTTTGAGGCTTCTCTGAACACAAGCCACTCAGACAGATTTACTGTCCAGTGAGAAATGCCAGATGAGAAAAAACTAATAGAACAGTCTTAATCTCTGTTTCAGTGAAGTCTGAGCAATCCTGTCTCCAGGCATTCCTCCTCCCAAATCTACTGTCCACATCTTTGAAACTAAACTGACCAGAGGCACAGCATCTAATCAGACCTGCCATATCACAATGCATGTCATTCTCACACTTTGCTAATTCTGTTGGCAAAATTTACTTTTATCTTAAGAGCTGCATTTACTTTAAAACCTACCATGTTAATTTATATGACACATAATAACACCATCTACCTAAACAGGATATGTTCTTAACTCAGTTTAGTACTCCTAGGAGGCCCTCTCATTTCTGTCTTCTATGTTCTTAACTCTATTGTATTTGCCTCTTAGCTTGCAGATTCAACTAATTTCACAACTATCCTCTGACTCTCTAGGAATTTGCTGTTCATTGGCCCTTTGAATCTTCTTCCAATCAACTTTCTCCTTTTTCAATTCCCTGAATATTTGCTGCACCTTCATTTCAATGCCATTGGAGCTACTACCCTGAACCACCTCAGTCCTGTAAATTTTTCTCTCACCTGTCTTTCATCTGGTAAAAGTCAACACTAGATCAATAGAACAATCTACTCTGTTTCTACAATTAGAGAGTTGAATGTGGCTATAAAAAGTCACCCAATAGGATTATGTAATTGCTGATTTAAAACTTTTTTCCTTTTCAAACTTTCTTCTGCTCTTACTCTCAGGACAGGATTCACCTCAATTCTTACTTTAAAACCATCAAAGGGAGATAGATTCACCTTCCCAAGGCTAATCCCGCTGCTGCTCAGGGCTGCACCCTTCTCTGTTACAGCAGAGAAGCTGCCCATAAGCTAATTCTTCCACTTACCTACAAACTCAGTGTCCGCCCTTTACAGGAGTCTTATCATCTCCTTTTAATCATATATCTAATCTCTTTTTTCTTTCTTTTCTTTCCCTTTCATCATTTTCTTTCTCTCTCTCTTTTATCATTCTTTCCTCCTTCCCATACCATTGCCATCAGCTTTTTATCAAGCTTAACAGCTGAAGCCTCTGGTTGTTTTTACTCCATTTTCAAGCTTGATACCCACTTCAGCCAGTGCTATCTCTCCTTTCCCATTGAAAATGCACTGAGTTGTTGATAATCTATTGTCCACATTTCCTTACTAACTGTTATACCATGACCAGTAGTTTTTCTTACCTACTTTTGTCTCTGCACAAGAGAACTTTTGCTACGGTCAACAATGACTTCCTTGTTGTTATATCCAAATGACATTTTCAACCTTCATTGTAATGACATCTTGGCATCATTTGAGAGGTCAGATTCTCAGGTAGCCATTTCTTCCTTTAAGCACTGTCTTCCTGTGGTTTCTCAGTTTTTTTGCCCAGTGTCTGCAACAGCACTGGAAGTCAGGAGGGAATTAACATCTATCGAATAGGAGTAACTTAAATCATCTAACCATTTTTTTTTTTTTTTTTTTGGTACTGGGAATCGAACTCAGGATGTTGCATTTGCCAGGCAGGCACTGTGCTGCTGAGCTCTATCCCTGGCCCTAAATCACCTAACCAAAACTACTCTGTACATAATTGTGCAAGTAACTTCTTTTTAAGGATGAGTGTCTTAAAGTTAATATTCTTGTATCATCCAAAACTCCTAGGAGAACAAAGTGTATTTGGCAGAAGAGTTTTTTAAATCACATCACAATATTATAACTGAGATAGTTCAATATAGAAAATATCACACTTTAATCCTTTTATGGAAATATACTATAATTAATAAATTAGTTCTTATTAGGACTATTACTATAAATTACACACACACTTCCTATTATGAGCTTTGAAATTAATTATGAAAATTTGTTGTACAAAATACGTTTTAGTGGATTTCATTATGGACAAAAATTTTGAAATACCTTCTCCATTGGCACTGTAAAAGGAATGACTTTATAATTCTTTTAGCCTCATGGATTAGAGGTTCCCCGATATTTTTGCTTCACACCACCTTCAGTATCTTCATAACTTTTTTTATAGTAACTACAGGCTAAAAGAAGTCTAACAAGTACTTCTTAAGTAGTTTGGTCCAACAGTTTTATAACCATTTATGTCCTAAAATCTTAGTAGTCAGTTTTAGAGACACTACTCATAAATTGGAATAAAAATATTTTCACATCATTCTTAAATGCCACAGTTGAATACTAATGCTATGGGTGCACCTGTTAGGTACTGCACAACTCTTCAATCCTTGGAATCAAACAGCACACCCCCACTTCACATCATCTGCTTCATATGGACATTTAATAGTATTTTTTCACTTCAACCCCCAAGAGCCTGGCTTTGTGAAGCCAGAAAAATATCAAAAGGAACATAGCATGCACTAATCTTGCAAGTGTGAACCATCTCAAGCTAGTATCACTGGATGACCAAGAAATGTAAACTGTCACTGCATTTTTTTCTTTGAAGTTTTAAAATATCTATCAGTGTCCCATGAATCTCTGTAGCCACTTGGAGTTCAACAACGCACAATTTGGAAAGTCTTTAATTGCTTATTTCTCCCACTCCCATCCCTGTAAGTCCAAATCTTTAAAGATAATAGCTCATATTTCAGCTCACTCAAAAAGCCTTCCATCATCATCCAGATAGAAGTAATTACTCTTTATTCCATCTAAATTTCTGGCATGTGACAGAGACTACCTGGCCCCCAGTATCTATTCTCTCCTTTGATCTTGGAAACACAATGTAAATTTTGGCTAGGCCAAATTTTAATAATTACCTAAAATAAAGACTACATTTGCCAGTCTTGCAGCTACATGAGACTGCATGGATAAATTTCTGATTCTGGGATGAAACTAGTAGAAATAAAGGTAACTTCCAGAAAGTGTATCAAGAAGAGAGTACTGTCCTTCTAGTCCTCTTCCTCTTCCCTATAAGCTGGAATTAGAAAAACCGTAATAACATTTCTATGGGCCAAGCGTTTCTCTAAATACTTTGTATATATGGAAATGCTCTTAACCCTTCTAATACCTCTATTAGGTGGGTGTTATTATTATATACAATTACAGATGAGGATTTTGAGGCTTTTTGTAAATGATGAAATAACAATTATTCAACGTGATAAACAAAAAAGTTAAAGCCCTATTCAGTTGTTCTCTTTTCTAAAATCCTGTACATGACTAGAGATTCCATAGTGTCATTCTAAAATGTGCTCTTCACTTTCTAGCTTTGTCTCTATGAAGGCAGACTAAACTCTTGCTTACTCAGTCACATAAATATGATTCCACATTCCCCAAACCTTATGAGGCTCCACACCTTATATCTCCAAATGTAAGTTTTGAGACCACCCACTCTTCTGTGTGTGTCCTTCCCTTGGAGGGAAAGAAGCAGATCTTTTCCGGAGCCTCCATGGTTCTGCGCATCTTCTCAGACTAGTTATTGGATAAAGAGGGACTAAAAACTTACAAAAGCTGCACCAGAACACACGTTTTGGAAATGGCCTGTCTGTGATATCCTTAAGTTTCTTTCTAGATGCCATATTTTAAATTAACCTTTTAAAAACTCATAAGATAATTCTCTAATAAAATGTAATTACCTGAAACATTTAATTACAGGACTATTCTCTTCTTTATTATCTGAAGAAATTAAAAGAAGCAATTTATCAAAAATTAAATTTAAACTTTGCCTGATAATGACTTGGAATTTTTGGACATGAAATCTTTTTTTTTTTTTTTTTGGTACCGGGAATCGAACTCACGACCTCAGGCTAGCCAGGCAAGTGCTTATGCCATTGAGCTATATCCCCAGTCCTGGACATGAAATCTTTGACAATTTCTGTTGTTTAAAATATTTTGCCCTGAGAATGGCATATATAACCTTACCCCAGCTGTCAACTTTCCATGATATAGATCTCATCCAGCTTAGTAAAACACTGTAAGAAATGTCATTTTAATAGTAAAGATTAAGGCAAAGAGAGGTTTAAACTCATATAAATAAGTCAAAAACCTATACTTCTGTTTCTTTTGAGCAATTCTTCAAGAATCATCCTATATATAAACAAGGTATCTGGGGCCCAGGGATTTAGCTCAGCAGCACAGCGCCTGCCTGGCAAGCGCAAGGTCATGAGTTCAATTCCTGGTACTGGAAGAAAAAAAAAACAAAAACAAACAAACAAAAAAAAAAAGGTGTCTGCTCAAAGGTCTAAAACAATATCAGATAAAGGAACTGAAACATAATATATATCTATTTTACAGAATATTCTATCCTTTTATTTCAAAAACAGATTCACAATGAAGGATAAAAGGTGTTATTTGAAAAAAAAACCTATTCCCTAATCATTCCCTGGTTTTCCTAAACATAGGTTACCCTTAGTCTACACTGTCTCTGGAAGTGATAATATTTACCCAAAGCTACTTACAAAAGAACTAACATCAGCTTGCTATTTCTCAAAGGACATCATCAGAAATAGAGATACTTTTGATACTTTGGTACTTTGATATTGATACTTTTATTTAAAAATAGGATTTGTTTAAATTACCATCAAAGTCAGGTAAACTTGAGGCAGCAAATAAATGGTTTCTGATTAGCAGATTAATTTGAAATGCAAATGTTAATTCTACTTGCATAATGTGTCATTATACCATAAATACTGTTAGATACCAAAATCATTACTTTATTAAATACAACCATAAATTCATGTAAATTTAGTTAATACAGAATACTTAGTCAACACAGCCTCAGTTTTAGGTGCACAAATGTTATTAGCCCAATGTAGTCTTAATTCATTCACTCACCTGGTAATTTACCGAAAATTATTTATTACTTTAAAGTTTATAGTGTCACAAAGCCAAATGAAAATAGGAAACAGGGTTATATGCAAAGTTATGGCACAACTTAAAGACTATCTCCCCTCAACCACGAAAGAAATTGCTTACAATATTAAAAAGGAAAACTAATCCAAAAGCAGCACTAAGTGTTGGTCAGAGACAAATTTACCACCCTAGTTCTTTAGGAAGGAAAATGAACTGCAAACGCATTCACACTCTGCTCATTCAGCAGAGCTAGGAGTAGCCTGCAGAGCTATGGAAGCCACGCCTACTATTTTTTAAATTTACTTTAAAACTAAAAGAAGGAAAACATATTAACACACAGACATCCATTTATAAAAATAGCATATGAACAATACAAGCAATACAGAGTTACAGGCAAAGTGGTAGGAAATTAACAATGCTTTACCTATTGATATCTTCAAAGCGGTTTCTCAGGGAAACAAACAGAGACATGCAAGATTGATCAAATAATTAATCATTAACTGTTCCTTTCAGTAAAGTGATAGAAGTCAGTAGTACAACTGTGTTAGCTATCCCGTATATACATACACACATAATTTCCCCTCCTTTCTTTCCTCTTTTCCCTCACTCCAGTTGCTCTTTACTTTTGAGCTTTTCCTTTCTTTTCACAGTGTCTACCATACCTCCTAGTTGTTATTCACTCTTTCAGGTCTTACACTAGTGAGACAATATGTGTCTTACACATGGAGGTCTGGTTTATTTCACTTATGAGTATGGTCTCTAGTTGTGACCATTTGGCCCGACAGGACGCAGAAACTCCTTTGAAACTCTGTGGGGATCCTGCATTGCTATACATGAGTGTATTATAATATAAATGTCTGCCTTAAGAAAGGGCAGACACTGAGATTCCACTTGTTGCTGGATACTTGGGTAGGAGCTCTCTCCTGCACCACCATCACTCTACAATGTGATCCAAAATGTTTTTTCTGTACTTGAGAAGTTTCTCTAACTCTTCTGCACTCTGTGTCCACCAAGGACAAATAAATCAGTTATCATCCCTCACTTAAAATAAAAATTCCAGTACTACACGCTTTCCACTCTGTAAGGACTTACACACTTCCAAAATCAGGCATCGGCCAGTCCTCCATAACACTAGTTCTCCATTCTAGCAATAAACAAACTGCCTTCAAAACCATCCATTAGTGAAACATGCCAAACCCAAATGTCTTTTGTTGTGATGTTTGTTTTTGATGTCCCAAGAGGCATAAAGAACAAGCATCTGGTTTTCAGTAACTCCTTTCATCCCATTTTCTGGCATTTAATTGAAGCATTTGAAGTTCAAAAAACTCATGCCCTCTCTCAAAATGAAATTACTCAGTTCACACCCGAACATTTGGTTCTGGAAGCCAACCCTGCCCATAGTTTCTCCTTTGAAAATTAACACAATAACAACAGCACCAGATAATCTTCTGCCGAGTTTCACATTCATACATCCCAGAATGAATGCTCAATAAGCAGACTAAACACTGACACAGCAATAACCTCACAGAGAGACTACATAGATAATAATGACCCAGTATGCAGGCAGTGTGTTGTTTTGGTGTTTTTGTCTTGAGGGTGGC